TATGTTCTCATATAGATTTTCTTTCCTATCGAGATGGGGGACAAGTGTTATCTTACAATGTCTACACCTGTCTGGTGATGATCACATACCCAGGTCTGTCGTTTGCCCCATCCTGACCGCTCGTGTCAGTACCGGAGTTAAACGAACCGCCTCCTCCTCCGCCATTCGGGATACAATACCCTCCCCTGCCTCCCCCTGAGTACCCCCCTCCTCCTGCACCGCCTCCCCCAGTAAAAAATAACCACCCCCATAACTCCCTCCCCCTCCACCAAACCCACCATCAGCATTATTACATGCCCCACGCCCTCCAACCCCGCCATTCACAAACGCCTTCCCACCTTCTCCACCATTCTTACAACTGTTGCCTCCTAACTGTTGAGAACTCCCTCCACCCGTCAGCAGCCCTCCCCCTCCCCCACCCATGTGGTTAGCCTTCCATTCTGTCGCCCCCTGTCCGTTAGATCCTCCACTACAACCTGTTGTTCCACAACTCTTGTTACCAGTAGTGGACACACTCCCGTCACACAGGGGGTTATGGGTCTGTAGTCCCATCCCTGCCCCTCCCCCACCCCCGGCGATAATGAGTGGCGTGTTGTCTCCCCTGGTGACAAACGTACCACCCCCTCCTCCTACACTGCTGGCCGCCGTGTTCTCAGCACCTTCTTGTCCCACCAGGATCTTCAGAATTTCACCTGCAGTATTGAAAAAAGAATATCAGATTTTGTATTAGTTATTTATCATCCTTCATGTATTACAGAACAGGAAAAAGAATAATCATTTTTACAATAATTTCTTGTCTCTCTTACAATCAGTAGGTAATGAATCCAAATGTTTCTTTCTGTGCACTATATAATGTCAGTGTTATGCAATACTGTTCTACAGTTTACTCAAAGAGATACAATGTTAACTGATAGCTACACAGTTTCACATTACAAGTAACATGACAAGAATGAGTCAACGTGCTACAGTTGAATTGTCACACCTTGTTTGAGGTTAAATGTTCCCCTCAGTACGGCACCCCGTCCTCGGGCGGACTTCGGGTTGTCCACACCCCACCCTGCAGCAGCACCTGTCAATCAAACATGTCAGGCACTTTCACTATACAGATAAAAAACAACTATCAAATTTCTCATGGATAACAAAGGAATAAAGTTATAGCTAGACTTCAAGTTACTTCTTGTTGATATTAAGAGTATGCATTAAATACTTATGTCCGTGTTAAATATACCAAACGTTATATTAATTAGTTCCATTTACTATTAACTAAACGTCCCTACCCGCTGCCTCTATGCTGTACGTTCCCGTCCGCGGTACAGTGAAGTGTTGTATCCCGTCATGTAGCGTCACCAGGTGTTCATGGTCCTGTCCCCTGTAGTGGGTACCCAGGGTAGTGGGGCCCAGACGGCCGCTGGCGCCCAGAGTGGTCAACTTGGCAGAGCGGAAGGAAGAATCTGAAAAAAGTAGGTTAATGATATATCTTTTGTCTGGGGAATCAATTCTCTTAATATATTGAGCAGAGCTGACTGTATACTATGTAACGTTAGTAATTACCTCGAGTGGTGGGGGCCGGATATCCTCTGGCTGGCACAGCTGTGAACGTGGCCGTGGTCTGGTTTTTTCCTTGCTTCGGAGTACCAGAGTGATTTGGCAAAAGGTACGTGTCATAAGTCTGAATCTGTGTAACTATCAGGTTATAATATTAATACAGCAAGTGGTGATTGACTACATGTTTATAGTTTCACAACTAAACAAGCTAGTACTAATGCTAAAACGTACCGACAACGTCGCCAAGGATAATTTCCGTTTCTCTCCTTTCCGTCTTGGGATCAAACCTGACGTAACTGATGTCGTTAGGAATGTCCGAGGTTGGACCTTTCAGCAGAGACTCCAGCCGGGCCGTGACGTCACAGTACACGTTCATGACGTCAAAGTCACTGCCATGCTCCACGACTTTCTGTGAGAAGTCCACTGTGCTGGACAGACAGCCTAAGGTGCTCTCAACACTGTCTGCTGTAGCAGAGAGCTGCTTGGAACGGGCTGCCGTGACGGCCGATAACTTTTCTTTCAGTTCAGTCTGTTTGCGTCTGACAAGGCCAGTGTAGTACTTGATCTCTTCCTCCGCAGCTGCATCGATGTCGTCTGCAGCTTTCTTACTCCTGGTGTTCAGTTCTGCTTGCTTCTCAGCTACGACCCCTGCAGCGTCTCGGTATTCCTGAATTTGTGGCCTGGCAGCTTCCAGTTTGCCTTTGATCTTTGCTCTGACGTCACTCACAACGTCTGTCAGGTAGCCGTACTTGTGGTCCTTGTGTTGCAGTACCGTGCAGTCTCGGCAGATGGGATGCTGGCACGTCTCACAGTAGAACTTCAGCTTCTCGTCTTCATGTTTTGGACACATCGGCAGTGATATCGACCTGCCTGATGACATCTTGGTGATCTTCTGCTCTTTTAACTCTGCCACGCCGATGATTTCATGATCACGGTTTCGTTTGAATCGACTGTGGGCACGAGTACATTCGTCACAAAAGAACTCTTCACACACAACACAGCCACAAGTGGCCACTTCTTCTTCACAAAGATCACAAACTACTTTGTCGTCTGTCACACTAGCTGCACTCTTGTGAGCCTGAACGGTGTCCCTCAAGCTCAGGACAAAGAAGTTGTTTTTGAGCCCGGCGACACCGCCCTCCGGAAGTACAGTTTCGATCCGACATGTTGGACACGGAAACCTGTCCTTCGCCTCACCTTGTTTCGCTACAAACTTCTCCAGACAGGTCTTACAGAAGGTGTGAAGACACGGCAGGATCTTGGGGTCTTTATAGGGCTCCAGGCAGATCGTACACTCCAGAAAGTCGCCCGAAATCTGGCTGAGTACGGCCTCCGCCATGACTACGTACACCTGTACGCTTCAGGTGAGATACCGTTACGGGTGAACTTTGAACTTCTGTTCAACACAGGGTCACTGTTTATAAAAGGATAAGGTTTCAGTGGATGCCAGATACAATACATAGCACGCTCGGCCAAAAGTGAGTCAGTGTGAGGGGTTTGTGGTATATAATTGGGGGATGTGGTATAATTTCAATTCCTTGGAGGAGGCATGGTGGCCCTAAAGCCGGGTATCTGGTCTGTGAAGGCCCTGAAAATAACAGTCTGTCACCCAGACTAGATCGGGCCAATGAAACTACACGTATTTATACATTATCTCCCCCTTATGCCACGAGACGGCTCGCTTAGTCGGAGAATATACATAATCCTATGCGTGGTGGATTTTGTTGTAATATACAATATATGTTTTAACGTAGATTTTAATTGGAAGGGTGAGTTGATTATAAACAGCACTTTTTATTTGACAAATATGTAAAGAAAAACCTCAGCAAGTGTAATACATTAACAATTCAATATTGCAATATATCCAATATCTGCTATATCAATATCTGTATATATCCATAATAGTTTTAATCTGTTTATACCTTAGGTCACACCGACGTAATTTTATGGATGACATCCGTGCGCGCATTGATTTTCACCTGTTTAAATAAAAAAGATCACGTCCTCCGGGGCTCTGGCCTGGCTTGAGGCCTGGGTAGTTCATAGTACTAGTAGTTAGAGTCAATACGGAGACGGTGGTAACTTTGGACGATAGCACCCAGGCTACCGAAGCTCGACGACTCAAGAACTCAGTACATACGTACAGATCCGATTCATAAATTCTGCAACTTGAAGAGGCCAGCATGGGTCGACTTGTCGTATACGTCGCTATGTACAGCTACAAATTCACAATACCAGCTTTGTATTCCTGTGGTTTAGTACCATTTTTATTTTGGGCCTGATTTTTTTTATTCGCCCGCGCGCACTAGTTTGGGGGTCTTCAGAGGATATCATCCATAAAATTTAATCGGTGTGGCCTCATTAGAACTACTGCATAAAGTTAGCCTGTGTAATGATTCGACATATTTGCAGCAACTAATTTCTAGGTTATTAGTAAAATTAAAGAAGTTCTTTTTTTCTTTCTACTTTTTTCAGATAACATCGTCCACCTCCCAGGTGCTGAAGGGCCTTCCATTGGCTCATACCAGCCTGCAGGGGTTTCCCAATCTGGCATGGCAGGGGCAAAGAGCAGCCAACAGTGCTTGAGTGCAGAAGTGTGAAAGATGGCGTATTGAAGTACTTGAAAACATATAAAGAAAAGTGATGTCGATAAAGTTTTAGCTCACTGAAAAGCTTATCTTTCACTGGTTGTGACAGAGAAGACAGACGCTATGTGCAGTATTTACAGGTTCATTATACCTAGGAAATTCCCCCAGCTCTTTTGGACAATGAACAGTACCCCATCATAAGGCCACAACAATTTAATTTGTTGGTTCTCGGATTTTTTCAGGAAAAATATGAAGCGACAGGGCGAAAAAAAATAAAAAATAAAAATAGATCTAGGCATCCTATTATAGCCCCAAATGCTACAATAGGAGGTATGAAGTCAACACAAAAGGCTGGTTCAAAATTTAAACAATGAATTTTGAACTTCTAATGATACCACTGCATTCAATGAAAGATGGAATAACTGTAACGGCTAGGAAGAAAAGGACTGTTTTCAACTGTTCAGGGCAAAATATGAGCATTTTGCAGTTGATTCTGAATTTTTTTTTTTTTTGCAAATCAGGAAAAAATGAAGAGGCGAATCCGAGAACCAACAAATTAAATTGGTGTGGCCTAAGGACCGCTACACTTTCCAGTAGCGTGCATGTTGGGTAAGGTGACACTGAAGAGCTGGTTGTGATAAGAGAAGACAGATGTTGTGTACAGTATTTACAGGTTCATTGTACTGGGTAAATTGTACCACTTCAAGTCCAGAAAAATTATACAAATTTTTCATCAATCCTTGAGTATATTTGCTTAGTTGCTGATTACCGATAGCCAACAGAATGAGATATGCAAGAGTAGTCTACTTAGTCAAAAAACAACTTCTCCAATGTAGAAACTGTTGTTTCTCCTCTGTTTTGGTGCCTTGGGTTATTTATTAATACACTCGTAATATTTTTGCACTACTTAAGTAGAGAATACCTTTGACATATTCTACAACAAGTATCTTACAATGGCTGCAACTGTCTGGTGATGACCACATACCCGGGTCCGTCGTTTGCCCCATCCTGACCGCTCGTGTCAGTACCGGAGTTAAACGAACTGCCTCCTCCTCCGCCATTTGGGTCACAACGCTCTCCCCTGCCTCCCCCTGAGTACCCCCCTCCCCCTCCTCCTGCACCACTGGCCCCATGACTCCCTCCCCCTCCACCAAACCCACCATCAGCATTATTATGTACTCCATGCCCTCCAACCCCGCCATTCACAAACGCCTTCCCACCTTCCCCACCATTCTCACAACTGTCGCCTCCAAACCGTTTAGAACTCCCTCCATCCGTCAGCAGCCCTCCCCCTCCCCCACCCATCCAGTCACCCTTCCAATCTGTCGCCCCCTGTCCGTTAGATCCTCCACTACAGCCTCCTTCATACAACATTCCTCCATAACTCTTGTTACCAGTAGTGGACACAGTCCCGTCACACAGGGGGTTATGAGTCTGTAGTTTATACCCTGTTCCTCCCCCACCCCCGGCGATAATGAGTGGCGTGTTGTCTCCCCTGGTGACAAATGTACCACCCCCTCCTCCTACACTCCAGTGCATCTTGTTCTCAACACCTTCTTGTCCCACCAGGATCTTCAGAGTTTCACCTACAGTATTGAAAAAGGAACACCAGATTTTTGTTCAGTTATTATTATCATTACCCTCCATGAAAATGGGGGTATTGTTTTTACTCCGTTTCATGTTTGGTCTGATATCTGAACATCGGTGAGAAGGAACGATATTTGGCAGATTGATGGATGGGGCCTTGGAGATTGTGTAGGTTGACTTTGAGCCCCTGATGATTGACCTTGGTACTGCAGTTTAATTTTTTTATTCTGTTGTTTGCGCATTATGTACTGTTTGTGCGATATTAAGGTAGCATGTAGTTGTTATTACCATGGTTTAGTGGTTTAAATTTGGGCTTCCTAGCTGTTTGCGTTTGATATTTACAATATGTTTAAAGTTGGTCTTTTTGTGTTGAATGTTTGGAAAATCTGGTGGGTCGTTTGGTATAATATTTGGTATGTGGGTAGTTGTTGAGTCTCTTTGCGTTTTAGAGTGCATTAGCAGGTTGTCGTATATTTTTATTGCTTAATTTAAAAGGATTTTCATTTTTTCACCCCTACTTCATAATAGAATGGTCTGTTTGACCCAAAAGTTGGGACAGATCTAGAGTGTTTTTGTTTATATACCTCCAGCTGGCAGGTCAGGCTGAGACAGCCCAATCTATTTTTACCCCTAGACCAGGAAATATAGTCCGGTTGAATGGGGTGCTTGAGAGGTCATTGACCTCACCTCTTCACTATGGTTGGTTGGCTGGTTTTATTATAGGTCTGTTAGTGCTGTTAATGATAGCAGGTTGTCGTATATTTGTATTGCTTTATTTTAAAGGATTTTTACATTATCACCCCTATTTTATGGTAGTGTGGTCTGTGTTTAATCCTAGTTGAGACACAGGCTATGTATTTTTATCCCTGTTTGACGGGCTATGTACTTTCTTTAGTCGGAAACTTAGCAACAATGTAGTGGACCACAATTAAAACATCGTTGTTGGAATATTTGCCCACTAATTACAGACGTTGCGACAGGGCCAATGATTTACTTGTCATCTACATTAACATAATTTATGCGATTCATTCATCAAGGCCATTGTGTCAACTTTTATCATCTTCTGAGAATCATTTGGGCATACAGGACCAACAGAAAACAACTCCCACCTTCTTCATTGCCATATAACGTCCAAATAAATTTAAACCCAGCTGTCATGTTTTAACCATTCCTGATCTTCTCCTGAACATACCTATAACAATGAACACATCCGATAACATAAAACAGAACCCTAACAACACCAACCTCCTTCATGGAGGGAAGATGTCTACAACTTCTACTTGTTGTTCTTGTATTACGTAACAGGAAAAAGAATAATCATTTTTACAATAATTTTTTGTCTCTCTTATGATCAGTAAAATAGAAGGTGATGAATCCAAATATTTCTTTCTGTGCACTCTATAACGTCAGTGTTATGCATTGTTCTACAGTTCTACAATGTTTACTGATGCACAGTTTAACATCAACAGGCCAAGAAAGCGTTAACATGTGTTACAGTTGAAATGTCGAACCTTTTTTGAGGTTGAATGCTCCCCTCAGTACGGCACCCCGTCCTCGGGCGGACTTCGGGTTTTGCGGACCCCACCCTGCAGCAGCACCTGTCAATCAAACATGTCAGTCACTTTCATTATACAGATAAGAAAACAACTATCAAATTGCTCCTGGATAACAAAGGAATGAATGAAAAGTTATAGCTAGACTTCAAATTACTTCTTGTTAATATTACGAATATGCATTAAATACTTATGTCCGTGTTAAGTGTACCAAACTTTATATTAGTTACATTTACTATTGAATAAACGTCCCTACCCGCTGCCTCTATGCTGTACGTTCCCGTCCGCGGTACAGTGAAGTGTTGTATCCCGTCATGTAGCGTCACCAGGTGTTCATGGTCCTGTCCCCTGTAGTGGGTACCCAGGGTAGTGGGGCCCAGACGGCCGCTGGCGCCCAGGGTGGTCAACTTGGCAGGTCCAAACGTACAGGAGGAATCTGAACGGATAAGTGTTGCATTTATTTATGCTGTCCAACGTAAAAAAGCTCATGTCATCATTTGGCAGGTTAGATGTCAGTCACCTTATGCATTTTTCTTCGCTTACATACTGACTTACAATAAAGGTGAAAACATTCAAAACAGTACAATCAAAATACAAGTTTGATTGAAAATAAGGAACTAACGTTAAATGAACTAAAATAATAACGTGAATGTCATACTAGTATTGTATGTATTGTAAGTACATGTAACTTAACATTGAACATCTCAATAATCTTAACAAATGTCTTTTTACTTGGTAATAAGTGGTACAATAACAATACTAAACAACGTACCGACAATGTCACCAAGGAAGATTTCCTTTTCTTTCCTTTTCGCCCTAGACTCAAACCTGACGTAACTGATGTCGTCAGGAATGTCCGGGGTTGGACCTTTCAGCAGAGACTCCAGCCGGGCCGTGACGTCACAGTACACGTTCATGACGTCAAAGTCACTGCCATGCTCCACGACTTTCTGTGAGAAGTCCACTGTGCTGGACAGACAGCCTAAGGTGCTCTCAACACTGTCTGCTGTAGCAGAGAGCTGCTTGGAACGGGCTGCTGTGACGGCCTCTAACTTTTCTTTCAGTTCAGTCTGTTTGCGTCTGACAAGGCCAGTGTAGTACTTGATCTCTTCCTCCGCAGCTGCATCGATGTCGTCTGCAGCTTTCTTACTCCTGGTGTCCAGTTCTGCTTGCTTCTCAGCTACAAGCCCTGCAGCGTCTCGGTATTCCTCAATTTTCGGCCTGGCAGCTTCCAGTTTGCCTTTTATCTTTGCTCTGACGTCACTCACAACGTCTGTCAGGTAGCCGTACTTGTGGTCTTTGTGCTGCAGTACCGTGCAGTCCCGGCAGATGGGACTCTGGCACGTCTCACAGTAGAACTTCAGCTTCTCGTCTTCATGTTTTGGACACATCGGCAGTGATTTAGACTTGACTGAAGACATCTTGGTGATCTTCTGCTCTTTTAACTCTGCCACGCCGATGATTTCATGATCACGGTTTCGTTTGAATCGACTGTGGGCACGAGTACATTCGTCACAAAAGAACTCTTCACACACAGCACAGCCACAAGTAGCCACCTCTTCTTCACAGACATCACAAGACACTTTGTCATCTTCCACACTAGCTACACTCTTGTGAGCGTCAACGGTGTCCCTCAAGCTCAGGACAAAGAAGTTGTTTTTGAGCCCGGCGACACCGCCCTCCGGAAGTACAGTTTCGATCCGACATGTTGGACACGGAAACCTGTCCTTCGCCTCACGGCCTTGTTTCGCTACAAACTTCTTCAGACAGTCCTTACAGAAGGTGTGAAGACACGACAGGATCTTGGGGTCCTTGTAGGGCTCCAGGCAGATCGTACACTCCAGAAAGTCGCCGGAAATCTGGCTGAGTACGGCCTCCGCCATGACTACGTGCACCTGTACGCTTCAGGTGAGATACCGTTACAGGTGAACTTTGAACTTCTGTTCAAGACAGGGTCACTGTTTATAAAAGGATAAGGTTTCAGCGGATGCCAGATCCAATACATAGCACGCTAGGCCAAGAGTGAGTCAGTGTGAGGGGTCTGCGGTATATAATTGGGGGATGTGGTATAATTTCAATTCCTTGGAGGAGGCATGGTGGCCCTAAAGCCGGGTATCTGGTCTGTGAAGGCCCTGAAAATAACAGTCTGTCACCCAGACTAGATCGGGCCAATGAAACTACACGTACTTATACATCTCCCCTTATGTCACGAGACGGCTCGCTTAGTCGGAGAATATACATAATCCTATGCGTGGTGGATTTTGTTGTAATATACAATATATGTTTTAATGTAGATTTTAATTGGAAGGGTGAGTTGATTATAAACAGCACTTTTTATTTGACAAATATGTAAAGGAAAACCTCAGCAAGTGTAATACATTAACAATTCAATATTGCAATATATCCAATATCTGTTATATCAATATCTGTATATATCCATAATAGTTTTAATATGTCTATACATTAGGCCACATCGACGTAATTTATGCGCGCATTGATTTTCGCCTGTTTTT